TGTAATTGGTCCTCCAGCCTCAGCTTCAGCCTTGCTGGGGTTACAAGCATGAACTCCTACACAACGCCAGAATAGCCGAAAACCTGGCAGTTTTTATTCTTGTCTATGTTCATGGTCTCTGAAGATAGTTGTAGCACGTGTCCACTGAATATGATGCGATGTATTAGTTTTTGGAGACAGGGTCTCAATTCTGTAGCCCCCGTGGTCTACCTGCCTCTGTTGGGAGTGTTGTGATTGAAGCTGTGCACCACCGGGCACGGTTCAACTCCTCCAACCCCTCAATTTTAAAGATTTAATTTGTATGAGTGTTCTGTCTGCATATATGTATGTGCACCGCCTGGTGTCTGTACAGGTCGGAAGGGGGTGTCTGATCCCTTGGAATTAAAGTTGTGATCCGTCTTTTTGGGAGACTTGAGCCCGGGTCCTCTGGAAGAACAGCCCAGAGCCCTTAAAGGCGGAGCCAGCCATTGGCCAGCGAGTACAGCTGATTTCAGGTAACATATCAGTTAAGCCCTTAGGAATGGTGTTTACACTAAGATAGTTAATGTAGCAATATTTGGAGAGAAGGTAATTCTACATGCAAAGCTTACATGTATATACACAATCGAGACAATCTGCGAAGGGGCTGCTTAGGCTGTCAAGCCACCAAACTGCTTTGCCGCTTTCACAGCTTGGACTGCTAATCTGTTCTGTCTCTGCCATACTCACCCCTCTGCTGTAGTCACCCCTCTGCTGTCTCTGATGATTTTGTCTTCCACTTCTGTCCATGCTACTGAAAGGCAAGAAATGATCATCTGGGAAGCCTTTTATTAGGCGTGGTGTTGTCACACAAGGAGAGATGGGACAGCAGAGTGTGACCTCCAGCCAGCTGTCTTAGTGAAGCTTCAGCAGCCTGCTTACACAACCAGAGAAGGGGGTCCTACGTCCTTGAACCTTTAGCATCTGTTATAGCAGTCCCTTGCCAGGTAACCTGGTGGAATTGGCTCCTGCTTGAAGGAAATGGTTGATGATCATTCAGAGTTCCTCAAGGCTTGTTATATAGTAGAAAGTGCAGACAGCCATGCTGGAGCTGTACTTTCATGGGAAAGTTAGTTGCAGTCATGGAGTAGTTTTCTCTGGACTTCCCAGAGGAGTTTTGGATAGTTGGTGCTTGGCTTAAGGGTAGTCAGGTAGTGTGACAGCCCTGCTTCAGGCAGAAAGGGAGAGCCCACAGTGCTAGGAAGAGTGACCCACTCCCAATGCCTTTGTCCTCCCTTTTTTTGATACAAGATCATGTGTGTATCCCAGGGAATATTAATACAAAATCTTGCTTTGTATGTAGTCTAGGCAGTCCTTCTCCTTCAGCCCTCCAAGTTCTGGGATTACAGACCGTCTCTGACAACAAGTAACTAAAATAACTTACTAATATTAACACTGATTTAAAAAAAAAAAAAACAGATTTAGTAAATGCCAAGTGCCAAGACAGGTGGTTTCCCTCTGTCTTGGGACAGTATTTTTTTTCTCCTAGCAAAACTGAAAAATAGAATAATAACAGATTAATGTACATCATTTTTATTTCTTGGTCTTATTCCAGTTTTGTTCCAGAGTACTACTTTTCTTTTTTCTTTTCCTTCCC